TGTTCACTGCACAAAAAGCTAAAAATGGGATTAAAAGATGTATCTCTGTTGGGGTCCAATAATGGAACAATGCTAAAGCAGAAGTAAGAATTTGTAAGTCTTTTTTTGTTTTTTAAAAGGAAAAGCTATATTGGAGGGTTACAAGGGCAAATGAAATGTGTATGATAGGTGTGTGTGTGTGTGTGTGTGTTTGCGTGCGTATGTATGTATATAGTATATAGTGGTGGATATGGGTATGTAGCTATGCATATATGTATGTGTGTGTATGTGTATGTAACTTAATAATAATTTAGGAATAGGAATATACTAGCTGCTGAATATACTTCTGCCTATAACCTTTCGCACGCAATATATATTAGTTTGTATATATGCTTTACACATTGTATTTTACGCAATGACTGAATAAAACGCAACTAACTAATATATACTTTGAGTCACTGCATCATGACGAATCTTTTTCTCGTCACTTTATGATTGTCAGCTTCTCTTCCTCGCCTATCTGCTCTTATCTTCTCTTTGAGTGCTTCTATTCCAGGTTCTTTCCATGTTTGGCCTGCTGCTCTCTCTCTTTCTATCTCAGTCTCGCTCCTATAAAAACCCTCCATCTCCGCCCTTTTTCTCTGCACTATGGCACCAAAGAAAGTGGAGCCAAAGAAGACGGAGGTGAAGAAGGTGGAGGCAAAGAAGGAAGAGCCTCCTCCTCCACCCAAAACTTCAGAGCCAGTGTCCAATCCCCCTGAGGTGGACCTAAAGAGCATCGTGGTGGAGTTCACCCCCGACCAAATGGAGGAGTTCAGAGACGCCTTCACGCTGTTCGACGAGACGCCGGGGGCTGAGATGAAGATCCGTTTCGCTCAGTGCGGTGACGTGATGCGAGCACTGGGTCACAACCCCACCAACGGGGAGGTGTTGAAGCTCCTGGGGAGGCCAAAAGCAGAGGAGATGAACCTCAAGTTGCTGGACTTCGACAGCTTCCTGCCCATGCTGCAGCATGTGGCCCGGTCCAAAGAACAAGGCAGCTTGGAGGACTTTGTGGAGGGCCTGAGGGTCTTTGACAAGGAGGGCAACGGCACGGTGATGGGGGCGGAGCTACGCCACGTCCTGTCCACACTGGGGGAGAAGATGACTGAGGATGAGGTTGACCGGCTGATGGTCGGACAAGAGGACGCCAATGGACTCATCAACTACACAGAGTTTGTCAAGCACATCCTGGCCGGGTAGGACCACCAGCGGGTTCACCTGATGGTCTGAGGTTCAGTTGGTCTCTGATGTCTCTGATGTGTTCTCTCTGTTTCTCTAATAAAACATCTTCAGTCCTTCTCTCAGTTTCTCCTGTTATTTACCGTTTATAAGAATCAGAATCAAATGGTTTCTTTATATTTGTGATCTTGGAGATCCCCTGCAAAAGCACGAAATAACTGCTGTTATTATTATCATTATTATAATTCATCATTATTACAGAGCTGCCAACTTTTCAAAAAAACTTGGAGTGAGATTTTGTCGGGGGTGACCAAGATTTTGCCGCGCACGCAGCCACACACATTGGTGGCTCATATCAGGAAATTGGAATTCATTTGGCGTAGTACCCATGTTGTACCCTGCATTCTGGTGGTTTGTGGGGCCCAACGTCGTTGAGAGGGGCGGCCTGCTGGAGGTGGACAACATTGGTTACATTCTGAGAAGCAGAGACGTAGCTGATGGTCCACCCCAAGGACATTCTGGTTTAAGTAGATGTCATTTCATGCATTCCAGTGGATTTTTGGGTGGTATGCCTGAACTTATTCTGATTCATGTTCATCTGCTCATGACTTGTGGGGCCTTCTAGACTTGAGCTGAACATTCATCCAGAAAACTATTGCTGTGCCTCAATGACTGTCTATGTACCACAACATAGCCTAATTAATAGACCTGTGTTTAAGATTTCACCAATTTAGGTTGTTTTGATTACAATGGTATTCAACTAACTCTTAACTAAAACCTCACCTATATTGTTAATAATTATATAAGTATTCTTAAGAGCACTTAATGATTCATGTTCAGCAAAAAATGACAAGTTTAGTTAGGGAAAAATATTTTTCATTATCAAACAAAAAAGTGCAACAAATAAAGTGCTTAAACAGTAGCCTTTCAAAGCAAAACAATGGATACACATAATATAAATACACATAAATAAAATAACAAAAGATGAGGTATTAAGAAGGAGATCAGAAGCTGGTTAGTATCTTTTTTTATCAAGCATTGTTTATTAAGGCTTAATAAACAATGCTATGATGTTTTGAGCGTGCAGTACACCAAGAGGTTAACAAGGTGCTCTCCTGCTGCTTGTTGTGACAGTTTACATTCACCACTCAAAATCACACAAACACAACTAATAATGTCTTTCAAGAATTAAAGTTTAAGAGAGTGAGTACTTAATTGAACCACATGTCATTAACATACCTTAGTCTTTGCTCCTCCTTAGTTTCTCCCGCGGTTGTGTCTGTTTGAAAACCTTCTTCCGTTGCTAACTCCGGGACTCTTCGGGGTAAACAGGATGTCTATGCAGCGAATAGGTTCACAGACGCGCTCCTTAGCGCCGTCTATCGTCGGGGAGTTTGAAAAGGAACGAACGCGCTTCGGCCCAAAATCCGAATTTCTTTTTTTGCCGTGAGAAATTTGTTGTGTGGCGTGAGTGCGTGTGAAAACATGCAAAAGCGTGTGTCACACGGCGAAACCGTGAGAGTTGGTAGATCTGCTATTATTGTTGCTGTTTCTTTTTATTATCATTATTATTAATCATTTGTTCATTGTGAAAATTATTAAAGTTTTTGTTATTATTATTCATAGCCATGCTATTGTTATTATTGATAAATTGATATAAACTTTATTAATCCCCAAGCGGAAATTTGTGTGCAATAGCAGCAGTACAGCAAATAAAGTGAAAATAAAAAATGCACAATATATACACAGTAAATACAAAAAAATAAAATAGCAGAGCAAACATATTAAGTTAAGTGGAAGGAGTATGTACAGTGGAATATGTATTCAATTAAATTCAATTAGAAAATGAAGTTAAGACAGTAGGGTTGTCGTTCAAGTAAGTTCAAGTTAACAAGGATTTAGCCGGAGGTATTATGTTGTGTTCTGTTGTAAAGTCTTATTGCCGTTGGCAGGAATATTTTCCTGTATCTGTCGTTGTGACAGCGGAGCTGAATCAGCCTGTTGAAGAAGGTGCTCCGCTGGCCCAGCAGTAGGTGGTGAAGAGGGTGGTCCGGGTTGTCCAATATGGACAACAGTTTTTTCAGTGTCGTCTTCTCCACCACCTGTTCAGGATGCTCTTGTTGGGAGCCAATGATGGAGCTGGCCTTCTTCACCAGCTTCTTAAGTCTATTGGTGTCACCAGCTCCAATGCTGTTCCCCCAGCAGACAATGGCAAAGTACAGAGCACTGGCCACAACAGACTGGTAGAACTCCAACATCTAGCTGCACACATTAAAGGATCGAAGTTTCCTCAACAAAAAGAGTTGACTCATCCCCTTCTTGTAGACAGCATTGATGTTGGCCTTCCAGTTCAGTCTGTTGTCGATGGAGACATCCAGGTGGTTGTATTCCACCACTTTGTCCACTTTCTCACCCAGAACTGTCAATGGTTGTGGAGACGTCTTCTTCCTCCTGAAGTCCACCACCATCTCTCTGGTCTTGGCCACGTTCAAAGTTCCACTCCACTACAGTCCCTGCACTCCTCCTGAAATAGTCAGTAATCAGGGAGATGGTGGATGCATTAACAAACAGCTTCTCACTCAGAAGCAGTAGTTGGATGGTGTTGAATGCACTGGAGAAGTCAAAGAAAGTGATTCTCACAGAGCCACCAGTTCCATCCAGATGCGACTGGCCTCGTTGCAGCAGGTAGATGATGGCGTTGTCCACCCCATACAAGGTTGGTAAGCAAATTGAAGAGGGTCAAGTGATGATTTAACCTGCGCCCGAAGGCGGGCCAAGACCAGCCTCTCCAGCACCTTCATCACATGGGATGTGAGGACAACTGGTCGATAGTCATTGAGGCTAGATGGAGTTGAATTCTTTGGTACAGGGACCAGGCACGACATCTTCCAGAGCCCCGGGACTTCCTCCAGCTTCAGGCTTAGGTTAAAGAGACGTTGCAGGACTTGTTAGACAGTTGGATAGCGCAGGTCTTCAGTACTCTGGGGCTGACGCCATCAGATCCTGCAGCTTTTCCGTGGCGGAGTCTCTCCAGCAGTCGTCTCACCTGGCCATTCATCACAGAGAGGGGGGGAAGGGTGGAACAACACCGATGCTGACTGGAGATGACTACTAGTAATGTCTTCCCTCACCTACCTCTCCTGCTCTTTTGTTGTTAGGGGTAACCCTTTAACCTTTTTTACATTTTGCCCGGGGAGCATTTAGGGGTTAGGTGCCACCAACCTTGTGGTTCCCAGCCCACACTCTCTACCCCTGCGCCACGTCGACCCCTTTTTCTGAGTTTAGCATCAGGACGTTGCCGGTCATCCAAGTTTTGATGTCTCCAAGACATTCTTGAAGTCCAACTAGCTGGTCGGTCTCTTCTGGTTTGATCGACAGATACAGTTGAGTATCTGCATAACAATGGAAGTTTATGCTGTGTTTCCTGATCAGATCGCCCAGAGGAAGCATATAGAGGGTAAATAAAATCGCTCTAAGAACAGAACCTTGTGGGACTCCGTGACCAACATTGGTGGTCTTCGAGGATTCACCGTTTACAAGCACAAACTGGGATCGATCCGATAAGTAGGATTTAAACCAGCTGAGTGCAGTTTCTTTGATACCAATCAAATGGTAACACCATATTTTAAGCTGTTTTTTTGTTTCATAAAATATTCTTTTTGTATAGCTTATATTTAGAGTTTCAGGTTAAAGCTTAAGGTATTGGAAGGGGGAAAAGTGTAAAATAAGCTATCAGTCTATCTAGATACAGATATATATGTCATCAAACTACTGGAAATAAAAACAAAGAACAAGAAGCAGAAAGTCCGACGTTATCATTTATTTTTCATCACGTCGTCTCTTCATCCAACAGGTGAGAACACAAGTCTTCTAATTGTCTTCCAGTACTTTAACCTATCTCTTTATGTCTAAAAAACACAAACTCACACAACTTCTTTTACGAGCTTCTATAAAAACTAAAAAAGAAAAACAAACTAAAAGTTTCTGTTTTTTACTCAAAATGTGATTGCTAACATTATAGTTTAGAGTGTAAGCATGCTAACAGTTAAAATGCTACAACAATAAACAAAGCTGACATGTTGGTTTATAGTGGCAGTATCGTTACATTAGCTGACCCTAGCCACTAAACTGTAAGTACAAATGGGGACATTTAAACATCACAACATTAGTTCTTTAGCTTTGCAAAAAGAGACTAAAGAGTATAACCGAAGAAAACATCTGTTAGAGTTTAACTTCTGTAAACTAAGGCTTATAACAAAACTGAAGTATTTCCACCCGTCTCTTTTGAGATATGTAGTACAGAAACCAAACTGAACAGGAGACCAGAAAAACTTGATCCTATATTTCCAATGATGCAGCTTAGTTTCATGTCATTGGCGAGCTCTTGGCTGAACCGATGAGTGGAACGGACGCCCAATCGGATGGTGCTTTTGTCTCCTCCTCACTCATGATTGACCAACCGGTAGAGGCCCAGAGACCCATTGGCCAACTGGGTGTAAAGGCGGGACTTGAGGAATCGTGGGTAACTATCACTCTCCATCAGGCTCAAGATCTGATCCTGAGCCAGCTGGAAAGACATCGGGTCAACACCGACACGCAGGCCCTGATTGGTTGATTCCCTGACAGAAGAGTCCACTATGACCTGGAGGCAGGGAGCAGCAGGGTCACATGACCGATGATCATTAGACCAAAAAGAGGACGAACCGCCAGACAGACAAGTACCTGTCTCGATGCGTTGACAGCAACAAACTCGTCGTAGATGTTTGCAGCTCTGGAGACCATCTTGCTGAGGGGGCGGGTCCTCTTGAATCTCTCCACTGCCAACCAGAAGTCCAAGTTCTCCTCGCTGAACTCTAACTTCAGGAAGTAGCGGAACACAGCCAGACCATCTGAAAAATGGAAAGTGAGCAGCAAGATGAGTAAACGGTGAAGAACGCCAGGATAAGGACACGAAAAAGAGTCATAAACAACAATCACAAGACGTTAGACGTTAGAGAAGTTAGTTATGTGTGTTCTAATCATCATATCTATGGGAATCTAAATAAACATCATACATAAACATACATACAACATACATCAAGCATAAACATCCAGCGTCCTCCAGGTCTGAAAAAGGATTACAAAATGCAGGGGTAGACGCCCTAAGGAACTGTTGTCTTACACTTATTAGTCAAGAGAGCTTCCAAACTCGCCGCCCACCTGATCACCTCTCCTGTAGACGGCCTGTAAGACAAAATACAGGTACCTTTGAGCACAGGGACCCGGTAAGACCCAGTATGACCCGGTCAGAGCCAGGTGAGCTCAGTTAGCATCTTCTTTGGAACATCCGTGTTCCCACCTGTTGTTTCTCAGAGCTTTCTTCAGACTGTTACAATGGGAAAAGGTGGTGTCTTTTTGCTGCCGTAGAAACAGCGGGCAGCTACGAACTCCAGCAGCCCTGAGGAGGGGATAATGATAAGAGAGAGAGACAGGAAATAAAGAGGCGACTCCATGGTTGTGTTTGTTTGTGTGTGTGTGTGTGTGTGTGTGTGTGTGTGTGTGTGTGTGTGTGTACTTACAGATTCCTGGTATTCTTCCTCGGTTGAAAGCTTCTCACATCTTTATCCTGAACAAACAAAACAACAACTGATCAGACTCTACTTGGTTCCACAAGGATCGACTGAATTCTACTGATCCCTAGTGAATTCCATCAGCCTTTACTGAGCTCTACTGGTCCCTAGTGAACTCCAACAGACTTTGCTGAGCTGTGCTGAACCGGATCAACATACGCAAGGCTGCTGGCCCTGATGGCATCCCCGGGCGCGTGCTCAGGAACTGTGCTGTGACTGACATTTTTAACCTGTCACTGGCTCAGGCAGCCGTCCCCACTTGCTTTAAAACCACCTCCATCGTGCCGGTGCCGAAACACTCCAAGGCAGCGAGCCTAATGACTTCCTTCCTGTTGCGCGAGTCCAAGTCCAAGAGTTGGTCCTGCCTCACCTCAAATCCTGTTTTCCATCGAGAGCATCCGCACCAACTGCATCACGGTGTGGTACGGCAGTTGCTCTGCTGCAGACCAGAAATTTCTCCAGAGGGTGGTGAAAAGGCATCATGGCTTCCTCACTCCCCACCATTGAGACTGTCCAGCACAAAAGATGTCTGCGGAGGTTGCGCAGCATTGTGAAGGACAACTCTCACCCTAGCCATGTTTGCCCTCCTCCTCTCTGGGAGGTGCTACATGGCCCTCCGTTCCCAGACCAGCAGCAACCTGCTTTACCCCTGCTGAACTCACCACCATGGTTTCTGGTCTGCATTTCGGTGTCTCTGTGTCTCTTTCATGGTCCCTGTACTCTGTGCGATGACAATAAAGTTGAATCTAATCTAATCTAGTGAACTCCATCAGAGCTCTACTCGTCTCTATTGAACTCTATCAGGTTCTACTGGTTCATAGTGAACTCCATCAGACTCTACTAGTCCCCAGTGAACTCCATCAGACTATACTGAGCTCTACGGGTCCCTAGTGAACTCCATACCACTCTACAGAGATCTACTGATTCCATGTGAACTCCACCAGACTCTCCCGAACTCTAATGGTCCTTAGTGAACTCCATCAGACTCAACTGACCTCTACTTGTCCCTAGTGAACTCCGTCGGATTCTACTAGTCCCCAGTGAACTCCATCAGACTATACTGAGCTCTACGGTTCATACCACTCTACAGAGGTCTACTGGTTCCATGTGAACTCCATCAGATTCTACTGACTAGTTTCTGCTGTCAGCGTCTGTAATATCCGACTGACTGTATGTCCATTGGTCTTTACTGGTCTCGAATGGTCTACCTTGTCGCCATTGAGCAGCAGCAGCATGTGGTGCAGTGACCCCCCTTCTTTGGTGAGCTGTTTCTTCAGGGCGTGGATGGAAGGGTGGCGGGGGAAGGACCCTGTCCCGGGTTCAGCGTCAAAGTTCAAGGGGCTGGTGAGATGATGGGTGATGCTGTCGGACATGGAGCGGGACGTCCGAGGTTCCTGCAGTAAAGAACCCTCGGAGAGAGAGCGTCGCAGATCTGCAGGTCTCGGGGTGAAGGTGAACAACTCCTCCTCTTCATCACTAATCTCCTCTTCTTCTTCCATCATGTGGAGATGATGAGAGCTGAGCAGGAAGCCCCGCTCCCCGACTCTTTCCACATTCTCTAATGTTTCTGAGGTGCCCTCCACCTGCTGCTGCTCCTCCATTTCCTCAGGCCTCCTCTTCCACCTCTCCTCCTCTGTCCCTCTTCTCTCCTTTCCCACAGGAGAGAGAGAGGGCTGGAGAAGGAGCTGACGAGATCTAGAAGGAGGTGAGGAGGCGGAAGCATATGGGGTGAGAGTTGAGAAGGGCGACAGAGGAATGGAGGAGGAGAAGGTAGTGGTGGAGCTGTAATGAGATGGGCAGGGTGGTGTGAGGAGGTCACAGAGGGAGGAGGTTGGGTGGGGGAGGGGAGGATCAGATGAAGAGGAAGAGAAGGAAGCCCGAGTGAGAAGGTCAGACTGACCCAGGGAGAGGAGGCCAAAATTTGAGGGGAGGTCTGAGAGCTGAGGAGGAGGAGGTAGAAGAAGACAGGAACGAGGAGAACAGAGAAGGTGTTAATATCTCATCAAACAGTACATTCAGAGCAGTATGGACTCAAATATCAGAATAAAATATTGTGTTTAAGGAAGGACAAAGTGACAACAAAACCAGGACGAGTACGAGGCGATGAGACGAGGACGAGACGGGGATGAGGCGCTAAGACAGGAACGAGGCGCTGAGATAGGAAGGGGACTTTGTCCCAAGGCGACAAGAACAAGGAGTCGAGGACGAGGCAACAAGGACAGGGCGACGAGGCAACGAGAGAGGGTTGAGACAAGAACAACAACACGAGAAGAGGACGAGGCGACGAGATGAGGCGAAAGGATCTAGGCAATGAGACAAGGAAGAGACAAGGCGACGAGATGACGAAGCAGGGACGAGGCGACGAGACAAGAAAACAAGACAGGGAAAGCGCTGAGACAGGGACGAGGCCTTTGGATGGGGTGCTAAACGAGACGGCGCGACAGGAACGAGGCAACAAAAACAGGACGAGGTGACGCGGCGAGGAGGATGAGGCGACAAGGCACTGAAACGGAACAACGCAGGGAACTGTGAGGTTGGCGGTTCGAACCCTAGCTGCTCCATGTCCCATGTCATTAAGTGTCCCTGAGCAAGACACTTAATCCCTAATTGCTCCCGGGCAAAAATTTTAAAAGCCATGGGTTAAAAATGCAATGTAATTTGCTTTGGATAAAAGCATTAGCTAAATGACATGTAATGTAATGTTTACAGGGGATGCAAAATGGTCACGTGTCACTTCCTCTCCTGGTGGTTACCTGACGGTTACCAGGCTTACCTGGTGGTTTTGAGCTACCGACTGGACGTTGTCATGGAGACAGAGACTGACTCTAAGTCTCTGCTCAACACTGAACGTCTCAAGAATGAAGAGACGATGCCACCGAGCCTGGGAGCTCTGCAGGAAGTAGATGTGCAGCGGCTCAAAGGGCACTATCCCCCCACACACACACACACACACACACACACACACACACACACACACACACACACACACACACACACACACACACACACACACAGTACAGTTGACCAATAACACCTTCTGATTGGCTGTGATCATAAACATATCAATGAAAAATTAATGAACAGAGAGGACGTCATATTCAAAGACCTGAGGTATATACCATGTTGTGTGTGTGTGTGCATACCCTCTCTGAGCTGCAGGGTGTTCAGGTACAAAGGACTCTGTAGGACGTTGCCACGTCCAGCTTTGTCCTCTCTGGTGAACAGCAGGAGGTCACTATAGATCAACACCGTCACCTGACACACACAAACACACACAGACAGTCAGACACACATAGAAGTGGTAATGATGCCACCACCATGTAAATAGAACATGTTACTGTGACCTTTGACCTCTAGAGTGACCTTTGATCTGCTAGTGTTGTGCAGAAGATGCATCATCTTCACTGAAAATATGAAACTAAATAGGAGCAGATTTCCTGCCTCTGTGTGTCTTGGGTGTACATTTGTTTGTGTGTCTGTGTGTAACTGCATGTCAGCGTGTGTCATATCCTTCAGGATCAGGTTCACTCAAAAGTGTGTTTCTTTAATACAGTAATATTAGACATTCTGGAGCAACGATAGTATATTATAGTCATGTTAAGTCAATGATTAATATAATATAATAAACAGAGTGGAATCGTTTTGATTTGCAGGAACTGTATATGTCTAATTGTAGTATTTTAGGACAAGTACTGTAACACTTTCAGTATTTCAATCGCGGTAGTACTGTAATAGTATATAATAGTAGTATTTTAATACCTTTACTTGTACTGTTACCTTTGCAGGCAGGATATGGGCCTGGTGGAGAACCATTTCCTCTGACATCAGCAGGGTCCTGTCGGGACTGCAGAGGTTCAGAGGCTAAAAATGAAAGGGACACATATGGAACACAATATCAAACACCTGACATCCGTTAATACAGAGAACTGTGTCCTAGACGAGTTTAATAAATAGAATTATTTAATGGGACTTTATATATCGCCCCATCACGTTTACAATTGTTCAGTCCTCACTGTGCGACTACTAACCCCTCGTTATTTCGACGTGTTTATTATCTGCTGGATCTTCTTGACCAGTCTGCTAAATATTGTCTGACATGAAAATGGTCCGTGACTCACGGACCGTGAGGCAAAGAAAGGTTGTGGACCACTGATCTAAACAACAAGTAATTCAATTCAATTCATTTCATTTTATTTTGTATAGCCCAAAATTGAAAATTACAAATTTGCCTCAGAGGGCTTTACAGTCTGTACACATACAACATCCTCTGTCCCGAAACCCACCATCGGCACAGGAAAAACTCCCCAAAAAATGAAAAAACCCTTCCAAGAGGGAAAAAAAGGGAAGAAACCTTAGGGAGAACGTCAGAGGTTCCCCACTCCCGGGATGGACAGACTACAATGGATGCCATGTGTACAGAATGAACAATGTATAATACATGCAATTCCTATGACAGAAATGATTCAAGTAATTGTGAGTAGTAAGCCAGACGCACAGCAGGACCACTGCAGGGACAACCACCATCTACAGAAGCCTGTGGGGAGGGAGAGCACGGAGACTTTAGGAGACGGTAATGTTGGTTTACGAGTACAGTAATGATGATGATCATGGGGAGGGCGGCACGGTGGCGTGGTGGTTAGCACTGTTGCCTCACAGCAAGAAGGTCCTGGGTTCGATTCCGCCCAGTGGCCTTTCTGTGTGGAGTCTGCATGTTCTCCCCGTGTCTGCGTGGGTTCTCTCCGGGTTCTCCGGCTTCCTCCCACAGTCCAAAGACATGCTCTGGGGATCAGGTTAATTGGGGACTTTAAATTGCCCGTAGATGTGTGAATGTGAGTGTGAATGGTTGTATGTCTCTGTGTTGGCCCTGCGATTGGCTGGCGACCAATCCGGGGTGTACCCTGTCTATCGCCCAAAGTTGGCAGGGATGGACTCCAGCCCCCCCGCGACCCTGTGTGCAGGATAAGACAATGGATTTGACAATGGATGGATGGATGGATGGATGATCATGGGGGGTCGTGGCACAGGGGTTAGAGAAGGTGTGCTGGGAAGCACAAGGTTGGTGGTTCGATTCCAGGCTGCCCCATGTTCCATGTCGAAGTGTCCCTGAGGAAGACCCCTAACCCTAAAAAATGTGAAAAAGCCATGGGTTTAAAGTGTAATGTAAGTCGCTTTGGATAAAAGCGTCTGCTAAATGACCTGTAATGTAATGTCGTCAGCAGGGCCACGGCAGGTCTCAGGACCAGGGTCCAGAAGGAACTACGATCTACGGAGACCTGCTATGGGAGAAAGCCCAAAAAACTCCCGAAAATAAGCTGAATTAGTCATGTGCATTAATAAAACGTGAATTATGGTAGAGCGTGAGAGAGGAGCTTGGTGTGTCCTAAGAAGTCCCCCGGCAGTCTAAGCCTATAGCAGCTTAACTAAGGGCTGGTCCGGGCTAACCTGAGCCAGCCCTAACTATAGGCACGAGCAAAGTTTTAAGTTTTACTTTAAAAGAGCTGACCGAATCTGCCCCCCGGACTGAAAGTGGAACCTGGTTCCACAAAAGAGGAGCTTGATAACTGAAGGCTCTGGCCCCCCGCCTACTTTTTAAAACCATAGGAACAACAAGTAACCCTGCATCTATGGAGCGCAGCTGCCTTGTAGGGCAGTATGGTGTTACATGCTCTTTAAGATACGACGGTGCCTCACCAGCAAGTGCCTTGTAGGTGAGGAGAAGTACCTTAAAATCTATTCTTGATTTACAGGAGTGATATGATCCCTTTTCTTAGTTCTTGTTAATACACGTGCTCCAGCATTCTGAATCAACTGGAGAAGCTTAAGAGATTTACAAGAGCAGCCCGATAACAAAGAATTACAGTAGTCCAGTCTGGAAGTGACAAACTCATGAACTAATCTTTCTGCATCACTTTGAGACAGGAAGTTCCTGATTTTTGATATGTTACGTAGATGAAAATAGTCAGTCCTTGAAGTATTTAAATGCGAGTTGAAGGTCATATGCTGGTCGAAGAGAACTCCCAGATTCCTGACGATGCTGCTGGGTACCAGAGCAATTCCATCCATAACAACTGTATCACGTGACAGCTGGCTTCGAAGGCGCTCTGGGCCTATCAGGATAACTTCCGTTTTTTCTCAGTTTAGCATCAGAAAGTTGCCGGTGATCCAAGTTTTGATGTCTCCAAGACATTCTTGAAGTCTAACTAGCTGGTCTGTCTCTTCTGGCTTGATCGACAGATACAGTTGAGTATCGTCTGCATAACAATGGAAGTTTATGCAGTGTTTCCTGATAAGATCGCCCAAAGGAAGCATATAGAGGGTAAATAAAATCGGTCCAAGTACAGAACCTTGTGGGACTCCGTGGCCAACATTGGTGGTCTTTGAGGATTCACCGTTTACAAGCACAAACTGGGATCGGTCCGATAAGTAGGATTTAAACCAGCTGAGTGCAGTTCCTTTGATACCAATTAAATGTTCTAGTCTCTGCAACAGGATACAATGGTCTATGGTATCAAATGCGGCACTGAGGTCCAGCAAGACAAGAAAAAAGATGAGTCCTTGGTCCGATGCAAGTAGAAAATCATTCGTAATTTTCACCGATGCTGTTTCTGTGGTATGATGCGCTGGAAATCCTCGAACAAAGCATTGCACAAAGTAATGCATGTTAATGGAAACAAATCACATGCAAAACTGATAGTCAAAAGTTCTTTTCACGGGCTTTTGTCTTGTCTTGATTTAAGAGTTAGGTAAGGGGGGAAGCAGGATGTGCCGAGCAGAAAGACACGAGTCTGACAGGATGAGGAGTCAGTTTCTGTCCTGGCTGAGGAATGCAAGGTCTGCGGGTCAACTAGCAGATGTGCCAGCCTAAGGGGGGTTTAGAGACACACCAACACTATTCAACATACACACTTTGTTTGTTGATGTTTACGTTAAGTCAGGAGTCCGGACATTGGATGTGACCGGATCTTTAGATGCGGGAATGGAAGGTCGTCCTCTACGCCAGTTTAGGGCCAATAGGAATCTTTCCTTCTCTGTCTTTCAAGGGTTATAAAACATGATGTTCTTGCTGATGTTAGTTAGCTGTTCTTCTGGCCTGTGTGCTGCCTGAACTGCTCCTGCCTTTGCAAATGCAGCACTGATACTTGACCTGTGATCTGACAAATAAATCTCCCAGAACGCGAGAAGTTGTTCGGCTGAATTTTTGATAACCCCGACCAGGCTCCAATTCTTGAACGCGTACTCTTACAATTCACATTCAGAAGACAACGGAATAACTGTTAAACACGTTTGTTTCGGATCAGAGCGGCAGCTGATTCAACATATGAGACTCAAGGATTAATCTTGGCCTGGCTGTTAGCCTGGTCTGTAGCAGGCTAGCTGCAAAGAATAAATCGCCATGGTTATTTGGCTGGGCTTAATTCCACCTGCTTTCGTGCAACCAAGTCCAAGCTAAATTCATCCAGGATAACATGAATATGCAGGCTTAATCCCTTATCCTGGTTTCGTGCAATAGGCCCCTGATCTCCTGGGTTTATTATTTCCACCACCCCTAGACAGTTTAGGGACGTAACATAGGTAACATACAAGGAAAGGAGAGGGAAAAATAGATGGTGTTACAATAACTTTAAGTAACATATATGCTTCCCCTAAAAGTGATTCTGTTTTTTACAGAAAGACATTTGATTTAATGATCGGGGCTCCAGGAATTTTCATATGTGGTGGAGATCGGAATATCCGTCTTAACCCCAAACTAGATTCATCTAGGATATGATGGATTTTTTAAAATTTATTTCATGTTTTGGGTTCTGACCTGGACAAAGACGGGGAAAATGAGGGTTTTGGACTCCGGGGTGACGTAGGTTCCATAGCCAGAGCAGGGGAGATGTGATTGGATGATGTTGCAGTTTTGGTAGTCGTTGTAGTTACTGGGTGGGGCTGATGAAGAGGAGGTGCATAGAGAGGGGGGCAAGGTGGAGGTGTAACTACGGAGAAGTCGCCCTGACAACCCAGGTCTAGGGTCGTGGACGAGGTTCTGACCTCTTTTGGGATGAGTCTGGTACAGACGGCCTGAGGATAAACAACACAGGTAACAGGTATATATATACATATATATAATCAATATATTCATTGATGCTATGTGAACGCTCAATAGTCGGTGTGATATTACCGATGGTTCCATTACTGTCATGGTAAACCGGCTGCAGCAGCTGGAACACAAAGGCATTAATGTCATTACCGTAAAAAAACAACATCAAACTGAAAGGTTCAACAAAAAGCCTCGTAAGTCAATGTAAGATTCATGTTTCAGTGTAAGCTTCAGGGTTCAATTTAAATGTCAGGGTTCAATGTAAGCTACAGGGTTCTACTCAAGCCTTAAAAGCTTAGAGTGTTTGCTCTCAGTCTGATTAAAAAAGTTTTATCTGGGTTTGGTTAAAGGTCTCCCTTCTTTCTGGGTCTGATTAAAGGTTCAAGTGAGAACAAGACTTGAATTTTCCGAAGGTTGTTCTGTCTGTGGCAAGAAGACACTTTTTGATAGACACCGCCCCCTCAGGCTCACCTGTCCTCCTGGGATCACAGGGGAAAGGAAGATGTAGTTGTCTCCATCTGATGATGTCACACGGGTGCCCTTTAGTGTGGTGGTGCGAGAGAAGTACTGAGTCGCCTCCTGATCTTTCTCCTGCTCCCCTTTCTCCACCTCCTCGTGGTCCTCCGTCCTGTCCTTCCACACAGAATCCAGAACCCCCAAACTAGACCGGACCACAGACCCTTGACCCAGTCTGCCGCCATGTTTACTGTGTGTGGGGTTAGGTAACAGCTTTCTGCCTGTTGTCTAGGAGAAAAAGATGAAATTAATCAAATTAAATAATTTGTGTTTGTGAACAGTAGATGTTCTTTCTTTTAGAAACTCACCTGGTTGTTTGTTGGTGGGTGGAGCAACTCATCACATCCTGACCTGAGCTCAGGTAGACTTCGCCACACTACCAACACAATCTGAGACGAACAGCTCCTGTATATGATTAACGGATATATGAATACAACCTCAAAACAATCCATGTCCAATTACATCTTTTAATGTAAACTTTGTGAGAGAAGTGGTTTAGCTGAGATTTGATTAATCTCTCTATCAGGATTGAGGCCTGCAGAGACCCAACAGATGAACAGCCTTTCCATATAAAGCTTAGCTAGACTGAGAGTAAACCAAACAGGTAACAGGTAGCACGTCTGACTCGGAGGGGGCGGGGCTACCTGATGGTATTGGCGAGGTCGACACACTTCCAGTTTTCGACAGGAAGACCGTTGAGCTGCAGGACAGAGTCTCCCTGACGGAGGCCGGAGCGATGAGCCGGACCTCCTACAGACACATAAAGAGTGTTAACTCACTGCTACACCTCTGGACCGGAAATGCTTTTTTCTCAAACAGGCAATAAGTCGATAATCCAATAACCAGGAGGTGATGCCTGGTCCAATCAGGTGACATAGAAGTTCATACTGCATATACATTTTTTGCACGGTTTACGGTTTATAATGTTGTTTCTACTTTAAATAAACAATAGCAATAACAATTAATAGTTTGTGAAGAATCACCTAATTCGACCCCCTGAACTCTTACTGGACTGTCGGAGAAGATCGTGAATCCAAATCCGTCTTGTCCTCGAACAACGTTCACCTGAAGAAAAACACTGAGCTGGATCTATGCAGTGCAAGTACAAATAGCTTGTTCTTGTACTGCATAGATCCAGCTCACATATACATGTACACATACATGTCATTTTAATTCCATATACAAGCAAACATCCATATACTTCTACATCCAAGAACGTATACAAATCCATGTACAAGTACCCATCCATATACAAGTAAAAATCCATGTACCTCTATATCCATATACAAGTTCACGTAGTTATAAATACAGTACCAGTCAAAAGTTGACACAATTTCATATTCATTTAAATGAGAAGTTGTGTCCACACCTTTGACTAGTACTGTACATATGCGTTTACAAATGGCCATTGTTCCTGTTCCTGATACATTGTGACACTTCATTCAGTTAATTAAGTTAGTCTTTACAACTATCAAGATTATCACTGGACTTATTTCTTTTCCTGCTTTCCACAGGATGAATGAGGTTCCTGCCCTACAGAGGATAATCATCGCAGATTTTAGTGGCTGCTGGTGTTCAGCAATATTGACATATTCAGGAGTTTGTGTGTCACTATGACAACCAGGAAAGGTTGCGTCCGCCTGAGAGTTTTCTCTGCACAAAGAAAGTTAAATGTCCCTCAGCTGTGACTGACAGGCGGATATTAAAACACCACGGAGGAGGTCTTTAAGGAGGACTCTCAGTGTTTGTGCTTCTCTGCAGGTTTAGTTTGGTTCACACGTTCTCAGAGACATCTGGCATTTAAGAACCGTGATGGACGTGACCTCACTGTGACACCATCAGCTTCTTGTTCATCACAGGTTCAATATTTCGCCTCCTCTGGTTCATCATGACACTAGTCTCATTTCGATGAGAATGAGGAGGCTGTGAGGCGGGGCTAAAGGAAACGCTAATGAGCATGCTTAGTGGGCCAGTGTGGATCCATGGTAGCACTGCATAAAGGGTATGTTAGTCCTTTCATATGGTGTTCAGGTAAAATCACAGTGACATCACGTTTACATAGTGCACCTCTACAGTTTATGGCTGAATACAAGCTGCGGGATGAGAGGTGGCCTGAAGACAGATCTCAGGGCTGAATGAGCTCCAGAGGCTCCTCAACTGAAAGGTTAGGGTTTATTTTTAATTGAGCGTTTGTGTACCCTACTCAAACACACACGCACACAGACACAAAAACATACACATTATGACACACAAATTGTGATATTTGTTAGTAAATAACAGATTTATTGAAACCTAGGTAACAGAGACCTGAACACGGAAACGAGGACTGGACTCCACTTGACTTTACTGGACTATTTTAAGTTTTTACTTTGTTCTACTGTCTGATACTCAACTCCCCTGACTTTAGACCCTCAGATGTTGAGAAGCCGTTAAAGCAGATTCACTTCCTTAAGAACCTCATCAAGAAGAGATCAGTTCCAGAACCCATCAGAGTTCTAATCAGACCCAGTGAACCTTAATTCATAATTGATGAAGTCAGACCTGTGGCAGGTTCTGTCCGATGCAGATTCGACACAGCCGGTGGATAGTGTGCATAACGGCAGGTTGATGGTTCAGATCCTGCAGGTCTGCCCGTCCATCTTCAGATCCTTTCTTTAAGAAAACCAGAGCCAGATAGATGCCAGCTTGGATTCAGAGTGCTGGATCATGGTTCATCCCCACTTCAACAGAACGGTCCGAACCAGGTCTGCATTTACATAACTAGAACTATATCTATCTTAGCCGGATGTTATGAAATACATTTATTCCCGGCTCAGACATTAGACACAAAGAATACGAACTAATCCAAATCCAGATTTCAAAAGACCAGCAACAAAACATGTCCAATCCAGCAGTACCTGTCCAGATAAACCACCGAGTGAGTGGCTCAGCAGTCCACTGGATGTTAGAGGGCAGAGCAACCAGGGAGTTTAAGTCTTATCGCAGAAATACATCCACTGAGTTTGTTGTTTCCTGCTATTCTTCTCACTGAAGGTTCCCAAACAAAAACACACAAGCACCCATACTTCGCCACCCCATGTGAACGCTGTCATTTAATCAGTTTGGATAGCTGGCCGTAGAAGAAGACTCACTAGATAATTATTCATATGTGAATATTTGATTAGTCTTAGAAGAAAAGTCAACCACACACATTTTGTCCTTTTCTGATTACAACAGCACTCATCGGATTGGTCGTCAACATAGCCCTAGTTAGCAGCTAGTTAGCTGCTAGTCTTAGTGGAGATGCTTCAAAATGCACAACAACTGGAGCAATAACACAAAGTAGCTAAACAACAACATGACGTATACAAACAATATGGAAGAAAATTATAGATCAATGCCACCATGTGCCAAACTACAAATGAAGACCAAAAAGTCACCAAATCACAAGTCAACACCACCAAGTCACCAAAGTACATGCGGAACCAACAAGTCACAAATCACTGGTCAAAATCACTCACCATTAGCTGCTGGGTGCTGTTGCTCTCTCTGGTGTAGCTAAGGTTGGTGGGGTTATGGTTGGTCCATGCCTTGTGGTTTGTTGATGACTTTAGTCCAGTGGTGGTGGTGATGCGGTTTAGGTCCACATCAGAAGTGGAGTCCGGAGTCCTCCTGGGCTCCTCTGTTGGGAGCAAATAACCAGCGTCATCATTATCTGCTGCATTGTCCCAAGACCATGCAGTGTTCTTCCAGAACATCCTGCTAGCTCTCAGACCAGACCAGGAGAGACCCAGGTGGTCTTGTGCTACAACTCAACCTGAAGCGTATGGCTACAGTCTTAAATACATCTGAGCTAAATCTTTAGTTTCATCCAAACTGTTTCCTGAAATTATTAAATTTGAATCACTATGATTCACACTGTAAATGAGGAGAAACAAATACTTCTGATGCCTCTCGTCTGTCCTCCTCTGATGAGACAGAAAAAAAGAACTAAGATCTAGTGTAAGAGAGAGGGTGGGGAGGGGTTTACGCTTCGATAGAAGGAGTGGGGGGTTCAAGCTACAAGGGTATCGGGAGAGTCACAGTTACAGGGCAGCTTCTTGTCACCATGGTAACAGCATGGACTCCCAGGGAGAATGACAAAGAGATTCAGTTTTAATCTAAATCTCCCGATGCGGCACTGTAAATACAACGTCTGAGCGTTTCAGAGCTAACAAAGGTAACATGTTAGCCTGCCCGTGTCACTTAAAGGGCCACAACCTCAGAGAAACCGACTGTCAGACAAAAGCGACTCCAAGTTCACAAGAGCAGTTTGACTCCAAACTTCAAGTGGGGAAGACAAGCAGTGGCGGTCAGGTGATGTGGAGCTCTGTAATTGCTTTAGAGCAGGGATCTTCAACTAAAATGTGAAGAGATATATAGATAGATAGATAGATAGAAATCTATCTTGAGTAATCCCCAAGGGGAAATTTGTGTGCAATAGCAGCTGTACAGTAAATAAAGTAAATAAAGAGGAAAAAATATAGAATTAAAAATGCACAATACATACACCGTAAATAAAATAAAATAGCAGAGCAGAACATATTAAGTTAAGTGAAAGGAGTATGTACAGTGGAATATGTATTATGTGTTGTGTTGTAGTTCAAGTAAGTTCAAGTAAACAAGGATTTAGCCAGAGGTATTTGGTTGTAAAGTCTTATTGCCGCTGGCAGGAATGTTTTCCTGTATCTGTCCTTGTGACAGCGGAGCTGAATCAGCCGGTGCTCATCTGGCCCAGCAGTAGGTGGTGAAGAGGGTGGTCCGGGTTGTCCAATATATACAACAGTTTATTCAGTGTCCTCCTCTCCACCACCTGTTCAAGATGCTCTTATTGGCAGCCAATGATGTAGCTGGCCTTCTTCACCAACTTCTTAAGTCTATTGGTGTCACCAGCTTCAAAATTCAGAAAAAATAAAATAATCGGAAGAAAAGATTTCCCCTTTTCTGCTTCACATTTGTACTCGACAGTCTCAGCAAATTATAAAGAATAAATCTTAACCCATTTTAACAATTAAACAGTTTAACAGAATATATACATGTGTGCTTGCCAAGAACTGGTTTGTTTTTTTCATGCAGAAATCGTAGGATGTCCATGCAGGCTTTTTTTTTGTTTGATATTTATTTTGCTAAGAAGAATAGCCAACAAACACAAACATAACATAATTTCTATGCCTGTCTTTCCTACGCTCCTTAAAACAAAATGTATTTTATGAAAAGATGGTACAGTTGGAAACTGAGAGTGCATAGCATATGTATGTTAAAAACAATTTTAACGCTAAACTTGCAGGTCTATTAGCAGAGTGGTTGTCAAATAATAATCTAACATTAGCCTCCATTACATTCTGGGTCTTTTCCCTCTTAGTTGAATGCACTTGGATAAAAGCATCAGCTAAATGAAATGTAATGTGATAGTCTCAAAGGAAGAATGCGGCTCCATCTGCTGGAAGAATTTGTTTGAATTTATCAACAATTTAGTATAGTAAATACATTCAGTCGGTTTACAGCAATAAAGTCAGTGTAATGAACCATACTTTAATAAAGGTTATAGTGTCTGATTTCAGAAAGGTGCAAATCGATTTCATATTTGAGGCTCTAGAATCTTGTGCCAATGTTGCCAGTATTATTTCAGATGGGGAAGGTTTAAAGAGCAATGCTATTTTAAATTCTGTTTTTGACAATTAGAGTTCTCAAAACTTGGAGAAGGTTATTGAGGTTAAAATGGCTCCCATTCTGCTTAAGTTAGAAAATATCTGTCTTGTCTAATGCATATGAAGATTATATTTTAACTATTTGATTGGTGCTGGCTGTGCTGATTACTCAAAAAACTGTTAGTCAAATATTAAGAGATAATGGATGCCAGTTTGACCAGTCAGTAGTTGAAGAGCTAGCCAGCGCGTTCTGTGTGAGAAGCCTTGTTAGAAACAATTGGTGATACACCTCCACTTTCCAGTGCTTGAAGGAGAGAGGTTTACTTTGGGACCCACTTTAATATAGTGGAACCAGTAGAATATATACTCAATCAAAAGAACAGGGTTAATTTCAGGCTGCAAATCATTTACACGCATGTGGCTTTTCCAGACCTCCATTGGAAGTGATAAATATTTCCTCTCTTCACATGTTTTTACCAAGGATATCTCAAATACTCTGAAACAAAAGTCTAAGGACCAAAACTAAGGACAGTGCAAGCTTGGCCAAAAATGTGGCATATAATGGACTAAACTACAGGTGAGGGAAATTTTGATCCATGGCTTACTGGGTGCACAGCCAGAGTTTGATGAAATAATCTAAATGGTGATGCTGCAAGACAAGTTCATCTTTGTTGGGAAGAAGCTCAGCCTGTGAGATTATAACTCAATGATTTGAATAATAAATAATCTTTTTCATTGTGTAGCCAGTGAGAAAATGTCCTTCCTGAGCTACTGTAGGTTCAGGCAGGCCTTGGAACCTCCTACTTCCTGGTTCACCCATTAGAAAGGGTATAAAGCTGCCCATATTGAAGCTGCTTTTGGCATGCTTGTCCCTTTCTATGTTGGAGAGTGGCTGGAGAAGCCAGTGAGCTGGTAGGTGTTTTTATTCTCAGTTCTTATTATAATGGTTTGGCCATTGGTGATCTTTCTGTTTGTGTCTCCCAGCTCGTCAGGGAGGCCCAAACCATGTGTGAGCCATACCAGGTGGAGGAGCCTCAAAGAAACTCCAGGCTGGCATTGGAAGCCATTGCTGTTTTGTGTTGCTTGTTCACTTCTGGTCTAGTTTCTTCATGTTGGTAATATTAGTTAGTTTGCAGATGATTACTTTTGGTAAGTAATTTGTGTTCATTTTTGTGTTTGAGGTTTTCTGCAGAGTAGCATCCCAGATGGTGGGTTTGGTGGCTGGGCCTTTCATCTGCTCATCCCATTGTCAGTTGTGTTTGTCTGTATTTTCTTTTTACATAGCATGCCTCTATTTTATATTGTTTGTGTGGAGAAACTGAGTCAGTGAGTGCCCTGTGCCAGAGCCTGTCCCTGCCCCGGTGCAGCCTAGTCACCAGTAGCACTCAATTTGTTTGTAGAGGTGCATTTGGTTACTTCTACAGCTGATGTAAATTGGTTTAATTGTTTTGTATGCTTTCCATATTTTAACTAAATGTTGAAATCTGGGAATACTTTTTCCTCAGTCTGACTTCAGTCACCTGTTGATCCGTGGTTGTTGGATAATTTATGAGGAAATATTTAACCCTGTGCTACCGGTGGTTACAAATGTCTTTCTTCCAGTTGCTCAACTTCTCATGACTTGATCTACACACTATGCATCAGCTAAAACTAATGCATTCTAATACAACCGCCCTACAACTATTTCTCCCTCATTCTCTTGCATCTGTTGACAGCCCAAATAGAAATCGGCCAATGATACCCCTAGAGGGGATTTACTTGCACGTTGAACTTTACTAATTGCTTGTGATCTCTTCTCAGACTGCTATGGCTGGTTCTACACCTGCAGGATCAAGATGACCAATGGAAAAGCTAAAACTTCCAAGGTTTGGAAATTCGGGGTATGTTAAAGGGCAACCTCACTTCAATACATGGACCAAGCTTTTGGCAATTACTTTTAATCTCAACTCTACGACTGAATTTCAGGGACAAGTAGGAGGCCAAATGGGTTAGTTGATGTGTAAAATGTTTGACCTACCTGTGTGATATTTCGTAACCCTGTTTTATAAATTGTTGCAGATAATTTCATTTTTTTTTAAATATTGTATTGTCATTTACTCATTTCAGTTGGTTCAATATGCGTTGGGCAAGAAACCTGGTGGAGACCGTGGTGCCATGAAAGCAAACAAAAGGTATGACTGACTTGCGTAAACAAGTACATTACTAAAGAGCCACTGCTCATATTTAACTGCACGCATTTTTCACAATGTTTTAACTGTTTGAATTGCTTGGTGTTTTATGGTGATTGTGATGTTTGTTCCATAGTACAAGTGAATCTTGTGTGTGTACCCTGTATTATATTTAAAGAGCAATTTTTCATTAACTGAACCAGAGTTTGTTGCACAATATATCACAAGTGGGTGTTTTAGTAATATCTTTATTGATTTGAATAGTTGCTTAAATATTTCTCATGCAGATGTTTTAAAATGGAAAAGTCAACCTCATAGTGCTGTACACTTCAGTGTAACCCCAACACAGTAGGTTAAGACCTTATGTTTACTGGCTTAGTGTTGCAATGTTCTCCAATTTGACAGTCACATTTACTGTGTACCTGGAATGTAATTTTGGCAGTGAATTAATAAAATGTCAATGTATTCTAGAGGAGAGGGAGAAGATGGGTGATGCCTGGGACTTGTTTTTTTTTTTTTGGTAATGCTTGTCTTACAAGCTGTAATGGCACTAATAAAATGTCTTTCTAACTGTAAAGAATGCCTGAGTGTTGTGGCCTGTCCTTAAGAACTATTTGGATCATTTAGCTGCTGTTTATCTATTTTCTGTTGGCCAATGTGTTAGTATTGCTAAATAACATTAACCTATGGGCAAAAAGATTTTTCAGAATGGGTTGTGATTCCACACAGGACGGTCCAGAGAAGAAAACAGGCTCCTGCCTTGAGGATCCCCAGAAGTGGTCGAGCAGTTTCAGCCTCCTGTGACGGTGGAAATTACCAGCAGTCTTTAGTGATTTGAGTGAACGGTAAGACGTTTTTCCAGTATGGTTTTTGATGTGTAATGCTTGTCATGCAGGCTGTGTGACTGGTCTAATAATACATTCTTTTTCAAACTGTCAAGAGCCTGACTGTTGCATAATGTGTTAACTATCTTCTAAAATATGGTTGGATTTCCTGAACTATACCACCCTCTTTAGCTGCTTCATTTGAATTTGGCAGCTTTTTGCT